TCTTGCTCGTTGGACTTCCCAGAACCTTCGGGATGACTTTTATTCACGTTCCAAATCTCTCCGAGCTCTTCCTTGTCCGAATCGTCGTTGTCGGTGCTCCCTTCCTGCCCCGGCTGCTCCTTCACTTCTCGGCAGACGGCGACCTTGCCCTTGGTGGCCAGCTGCCAGGCCTGGTAGGTGGTGAACGGGTCGAGCTGAGGTATCCATCTGGCGGGCGGCTTCCCGCTTTCCGGGGGGGCTCTGGGTCTTAGGTTCAAGAACTGCAGGAACTCCTCTCCGGGGGCCGGCATCCCCTCCTGCTGAGAGTCTGTTTGGGGACCGCTGCTACCGGAAGCCGTGTCTTTGGTGTGCATCTTCCTGTGATCAATTAGACTTTCTTTATTTGGAAATAGGAAGCCACAAACCATGCAGATTTTGTAAGGAGAGGCGATGCTCTCGGCGGCGTGCTCCTGGACCACCTCGTTGATTGTGACCGGGCTCTCCGAGCCCTGCTGCAGCTTGCCCTTGGCCCCCGACTTGCCGTTGTGTGTCCGCATGTGGTTCTTGAGAAACCAGGGCTCCTTGAACCTCCGTCCGCACACACTGCACCCATACGTGAAGGAATCCTTGTGCTTCTTCATGTGGATCTCGACGTCGAAAGCGACTCTAAATGTCTGCCCGCACACTTCACAGCTGAATTCTTCATTTTCTTTGCCGTTCTTGTCCTTGGGAGGGTCTGTTCTCACCTGGCTTTTATCAAGAGGACTGAGATACTCTGCCTCCACCCGCAGGACCGCGGGCTCACAGAGCGTGGGGCGGTGTTGCATTAAGACGTGCTTATTGAGGTCTTCAGAATGGGTGAAGGTCTGACTGCAGAACATGCAGTCCAAGGGCGTGTACCCTTCCATCTGGATGATGCTTTTCTCTTGCGTGGCTCTGAAAGGAACAGCAGTGGCGCCTTTTATTGACACGGCATCATCTAGCTCCATTTGGCTGCCAAGAGAATTGCCGATAACTTCCGGTCCGTCCATATACACTAAGAGGGACTGAGTCGGCATGTTTCCTGTCACTTCGGGACTGTATATAAAGCAAGAATCCGGTTGAGGAATTTCTGGAGTTGGAATAAGGCCACTTGTAAGACTTGTCACTCACACCCCGAGCAGCCCTGGGCTTCAAAACTCGAGCAAATATTTGTTATAAAAGTTCAAAAGAAAGTGTATATTCCTCTAACTTCTTATCTTCAGAAGTCTTAGGAAGCTCAGTGATAGTATCACTGGTTCTTTCCACAAAAAAGGCAGACAGACTCTCCAACGCTTTGATTCAAACGTGAGTCAGCACGAAGCCTTAGTTCTCTTTGTCTCCATTGAATGACTCAGTTGAGCAAGAAGTCAATTCCAGCAACCTGGAGACAAGGGATTTCCAAAACCTAGAGGGGTAAAAAAATAGGAACAGTTAGCTGCATAGAGAAGAGTGAGGGCTGGCAAGCATGACTCACAGTGATCTCTTCCATGTGGCGGAGAGGGTACCTAATTCAGCTGCTTCACTTTTAACTAATGCGGTGCCATCCTGTAAACGTGCTTGTTAATTAAGTCATTAGCATTTATCCAATTGGTGCACTTATTAAATCCCTAGAACTTCATCCAGTTGAGAAACTTAAAACATGGTACTTTAATGGTTTAGATCTAAAATGTGAAGTTGCAGGACAAAAATGGTTAAATTCAGAAGAATACATTTAAAATGCACACGTGTATCCTTATAAACAGCCTCTACAAATCTAAAGACTATTAAGAGTTGTGAAAAGAAGATGACAATTAAAGACATCGCTTCAGGTAAAAATTGAAGACAGCTTCAAATTAGCTTATATACAAACACACATACAAGACACACAGAAACCTCAAAGCACACTGGACGATTACACATACACAAGTCAACAAAGGAAGCACAGAAAAACAGGGACCTTTCCTGCAATCCCTGTGCAACAGACAGAATACCTCGGAACGGGTCTCATCCCGACCAAGGGTACCCTCGACCAATTTTGATTCACTGGATATTCTAAACTTCAATCCACCACCCAAATCCCAGTTCACTTCTGACAACTCTGCCTTCAACAAGTGTCAAGGGAGGGCTTCCTTGTCCAAAGATAAATAAGGAAGTGAGTACACAGCCACTCTGTGAATGCACATGTTTAAAATAAAATCCTCAGCACAGCTGGTTCAGCGGAAAATGGATCCTCCCATTCTTTATCTGCCTTTCACATTCCGGATTGGCCAGGTAAAAAAATGGAGGACCAGTTAGCTCAGCAGGCTCTGATTTATTTAGAAGCTACTGCTCATTCTTGGAGAAGAATTCATGTCCACTGCCAACACCCTCCACCTTTTTACAGTGAACACAGGAAAGGTTTCTAAATAGTCCCCACTCTCTAATTGAAGTCAGTTAATTCTGCCCAAGAAAACAAAAAGACATGCAAACTACTCCCACCACAGGCAACGTTAAAAGAAAGAAGAAAAAAAAACTTTCCTTCTCTCCACTTCCTCAAAGAGCAAGGGCCTGTAAGCTCAGAAGGAAAGGAAACATTTCTTCCCTTTCTTTACACTCATAAGAAAAAAAAAAAGTGCTCATATTCCTTGTTATCTTTAGTTCTGAATAAACTAGATCTCTAAGGTTTTCTAAATAAGACCTTAGATCAAAAATTAGGGTAAAAAGAAAAGAAATGTACTGAATGTTTTATCTTAATTTCTTAGTCTTTTGTTGCAATCCCAGCAGAGGATAAACACGTGGACTGCCTACCGGCTTGGTGAGGTACAAAAGGACACCAGTGACCCCAGTTCTAGTCCTGGCTGAGTCACAACCTTCAAGTTGTCACCACCAAACACCTCACATCTTTACCTACTTAATGCAGATGGTTAAATTATAAGATCACCTCAGAGTTCCAAAATTCTATAGTTCTAATGGCTAGATCTACATTTATGGGCAGATATAGTCAAAAAAAATACTTTATGACTATGCTAATCAAGATATTAAATGATATTTGTGTGACTGATCATGCAGGTTTCCATGCAGGCATTCACTCATTCAGCAAATACTGACGGAATGCCAGTGTCCTAAGTAATATTTTAATTCAAGAAATTCACAGCACATATTCTAGAAAAGTAGTTACCAAACTCTGACAACACTATCTTCACTGGCCAACAACTCAATGACAAATAGGGAAACAACTCAATGAGTTCAGTTCATTTCAATTTGAATAAAGACTGTCCTTTACTTGAGATCTTTTCTACTTTTTGGTGCCAAAATATCCTTCTTAAAAAAAATGAAAGTGGCAGTGGCAAATGGTATTTTTTTTTAACATCCTAGTTTGGCAAAATCAGAGTTATCAAAATCAACATTATCTTTGTTTATTTGTTTTTTAAGAAATTCGACTAGTCTGTAACATTAACTTTTGGGGAATTCCACTTTTTTATAAATCATCTTTCCCAAAGAGACACCAACTCTGGATTAGACACATGATGTGAGTACATCCCTGTTACTTCCCACTCAGCTAGTAAATTATCGTAAGCTTCTAACACAGGACCTAAAGGAGGCACAGTGGGAAAAAATCTTAGGAGAAAGCTTCCGTTTGGGGGGAGGGTAAACAGGATGGAGGCCTGAAGATGAGGGGAAGGATGGCCTGGGCAGGGGAGCCTTCCAGAGAGCCCGGATGGGGGAGAAGACCCTCCCAGGCGAAACTGAAGCACATCTTCCTCCAGGGACGCTTCTGACACATTCTGATAGTCACTCGCTCTGCCCAACTGTCCCTAGCTCTGGACCACCCTAGGTCGCAACCGTCCTTACTACTCATCCAAGAGATCTGAAAACCCTGGGCCACCCCTTCGAAGAAAGATTCCCAGAGCACAGACCCTGTTGCCTTGTGTGCCACTGCCCCCGTGCCCGGGAGTGAGTCCCTGGCACAGGGTTAGGCCCTGGACGAACGAACACCTGAAGAAATGAACAAACACTACAGCCAGTCCAGGTGTGCAGTCAGTGTGCACATCTCTGACCACATAACTGATCTCATGCTGAAATTAACTTGAATGTTCATCAAAACGTCCACTTAGCTATCTATGGCTGCCACCTAATAATTACCATTCTCCACAATTTCAAGAGTGTGATTAAAGAAAAGAACCATTTACTCACTCCATAAAGCTGACCAGCACGCGCAAGAGCGCATCGCCTGGGTTCTGTACTGACCCAGCACGACAAAACATGTGGGCCACGCTAAGGAACTCTGATGGCAAATGCCTTCAGCTCCTGCCTGAGAAACTACAAGGAGACAGAACACTTGCTTAAACTCTAAATCAGTATCTCCATCACTGAAAACCAACCTGCTAAACAAAAACCTGTAGACTGATTGTAATAAAGACTTTAATAATAATGGAAGTTATAAAAAAATAGACATTCTAGGCTAATTACTACCAACGACCAATCAGCGTGTCCAACCGTGTGAAGTGTGAGTGGGCGTGCGTGCACACAGCCTTCCCAGAACCCTCAATGCTCTACGCGTGGACCACACAGGAACCAGCGGCGCATCGATGACGCTGCTGACCAAGGAAATCGTCCTGACAAAGAAGTGGAGGGGGAGAGAGGACAGTAGCCCATCACCCTCAGACTAAGCGCTTTTAGTTTGCAGAGAAGCGAGCATTCTGAACACACTAAGCTTACTGAGAGGCACTTAGCAAAATGTTTTTCAATATTTAAAAAAAAATTTCCTAAACTTTTACTCAGGTAAATGAAATGACAGCACTTATCCCTCCAGCCACATACCCCGACACCTAAAGCAAGAGGTTATTCAGTGTAACCTTACATTATGAGAAAATACTAGGGTTTGAGTTACATTGTGATTACTTAAATTTACCACAACATAATTTTTGAAAAAAAGCAGGAACCAAACTGCTATATAACTGCCTGAAATAGAAATCTAATGTTCATTAGGTCATTTCTTCTGTTTTTGGTTTTTTTGAAGCAGATACTTACTTGTGAGTAAACCTACTGTAAATTCTGTCAATACCTGTAGATCTTAAAATATTATACATACGCAATGCTTAATGAAAAGCACAGTAATTTGTGTGTAAACATAACAAATTAGGGACAAATGCCACCACGCTGCCAGTGGCTGTGAACTTTTAAATACTGTTCTTCGTGTACAAATGTAGTCAAACTGTTAACCTTTAGAGACAGCACAGCTCTACTTCAGCTGAGGTCATCTTAACATTTCTTGATAGGAAATATTCATTACCATAGTGTGAAGCAATAAAATAATCAGTCCTCAAAAACTCAAAAACACATAAAAATCCTATTTATAAGCCATGTAATTTGAAGTATCCGGCAAATCTACTAGCTCCTCCCCACCCCCCAGTTACTTAAGTACCCAATTAAATCATCATTAAAACATTCTACTAAACAAACTGCTACCCTTTACACTGCAAAATTATCTCCAAGATCTGGTTAGGAAACATGGGCTTTTTTATGTTTCCCTTGTATATTTTTCACATACTACTTTTTCTTAATCTGACAAGCAGAGAACTCTACACAGTAATTTACAGTAACAATTAAAACCTGTAACTTTAAATCCTTCGGCACTATTTCAAGGAAATCACTAAGTTCACACCCATGAGCTTCAATGGTCAACCCCGACATCCCTAATACAGCTGTGGATAGATGTTTAAAGTGAAGAGAAAGAAAAAGATTAAAAGACCGAAAATTGATATTGAGTATTACAGCCTCAACTATTTAAAAGCAAATGACTGTTCAAAGGCAAAGTTTGGGAAGCTCCTATAGGACCATAGTCTCATTTTCTTGAAATTGTATGTAAGTGCTCACTTCTAAAAAGAACTAGAGACCAAAGTAGTACCAAAAAAATACATAAAAACATAAAATATAAAAATATAAAATAAAAATATAATATTAGTGTATTTGAATGTCATAATTAAAAACTCTGCCTGATCATTCCAAATCAATTAAATTAAGTTTAAGGATCTTACATAAACTTAAAGCATTATCAATTATCAGTATTATCAATATTAACAGATACTGTGGTCTGTAAATTGGCTTTTAAAAATTCCAACTTGACCTAAAAAAGGGAAATGGATTAAAAAAAGAATTTTAATTA